ATGAATGAAATGTCGTTTCTCATACCAAATTATTTTCCTTAAAAAAACATAAAATGACAATTCACGATTGTCAGGACCTACTTTACAGTCTCTATGCTCACATTGTAAATTCATTGTGAAAATAACGGAACGTGAAATTAACGCCATAGTTTGCACCCACGTACAAGGTAATACACAAGTAAGTTCACGAATGGACGTACAAGGGGAGGGAAGGGATGAAATTGCCGATTCCTTCGAAAACCAATCTACGAAGAGAACCCTTAGAACGGGATTTCCGACTGGCGAAAACCGACACAGTATTCGACAAGTCAATGCGCTCTGCACTCGAGGGAAGATAACAGAGAGAGAGGCCGTTATCCACCGGTGCCCTCGAAAAGTTGATCAACGACTCATAGAGGCTCTCGACGAGAGCACTGCACTCGATATCTCGATGCCTAGATCGATAGCCATCTTCATTTTGCCCCGCGATGTCGAGAGGCGTCGATCAAAGGTTGGTCGACGGCAAAGCCACCCCGAACGCGACATTGTATCACCGTGTTATACAACACGTTAAGGGTGCTTAGGGAAATAAGTCACGCTACAAGGGCGATTGTTTGCCGGTTTACGTGATGCCAAGAGGGCCGATAAGGGAAAAGCCTGATACGGAAGCGCCGAGAAATTTTTCATTATTCGATTAATGCCGTAACATGGAAAACTAGGAAATCCACATCTAACTACTTTTGCCGGCATCTTGTGGGACGATCCCCAATGGTTGGAATTATTTCCTTTTGTGCCTGACACCTTTCCAAAGCCACTGATCTATATACTAACTGGATAGCTGATATCCTCCAAAATGGCGGAACCTTTTGAAGCGACCATGGTCATGGACACAACCAATGTTGTAGTACTTGCGCATACGTCAAGAACAACGCGTCATTCAACCACAGATAGTAGAAGAGGTGTCAAATTCATATACTGGCGAGAAATAGTTGTCACTTTTATTCAAGTACCTATGAGAAAAAGGACAACCATTTTGTTTTAGTCGAAGCTTGCTTACGATGTGCCCTACACGCCATTTCACCCGTAAATTATGTTAATTCTGTCCTTTATACCTTAATCGTTTATCTTCGCGAACTGACAGTTCAACATTTGTCATTGCCGCGATTGACAGTTCAAATGTTTTGCACATGCGCACGTGTTACTTATTTAGTATCGCTGCCCGTCTGTAGTCGGCGCTGGGGTGCGTTGAATTCGTCCAAGTCCTATCCGTATAGAACAAATAGGTATCAGCTATCCAGTTAGTATATAGATCAGGGTCCAAAACGCATCTGATGCTTCTTTGTTTCTTTTGGGTAGGCTTCGAATAATGCACTGGGAGTATCGTTGGCTTCAAATCGGTTAAATCGAACTTTAAGGGCATTTCGAAAGGAAAGTCTCCGAAAGGGGCCGTCGATTGTTATTTTATAGAGTGCCAAGAGGGCTGATAAGGAGGAAACGAGAGACTGAAGAACCTCGGAGCCTCTCTCCATGAAAAATTCCTACCGCATCGAGCAACTAGTTTCGCTCAAGTAGTAAAAGTCGCGTTATGGTCAGACATGAGGGATCCGCAGCCTGTTTAGAGAGACGACCGTGAAATGCATAATTAACGTTCGGGATTGCCTGCACTAATACGTCACATAATTAGCCGGGAAAAATGCGTAAAATGCCCTCGCGAAGTAAAGGTTTCAAAAATGATAATTAGTTGTATCCTTGAAAGTAAGACTCTCGCGTGGACATATGTCTGAGAGCAACTCTCCAACAACGGCATACCACTCGCTGTGAGTCCATTGTTTACAAAAATCAGCCTTCCCATGGACACAGAAATGTATCTGTGGGAGCAACTCTACCGAGTGAAAACATTTCGTTTCCTGAAAGTGCTCTTCGACAGTCGCAGTATCTACCCTGTGTTGACCATCGCGCGATCTTGTACGGAACTTGACCTCCGCATCACATTGTTCCTTTTCTCAGTCCCGGACAATTCTATTAGAAATTCTATTTTAACTGTTGTCCTTCATGTAAAATATCCAATTTGTTGCGAAACTTTAACCCTTAATTTTTCCATTAATGCATTTCTAGCCCCAAATTCAAATCGTCGTTAACCCTTAGCACTATAATTGTGTTCCTAGTTTGTTCCCGCCAGAGGTGAGCTCATAGGGTTAAATCCACTTTAGCGTCCAACAACAGTGTCTTTTATCTTCTCCGTTTTAAAGTCATACGAGCCGCGATTAGGGCAACGACAATCCTTTCCCGTATACAAGGCATAGAGAATCGAACGTATCGAGACCTAGCCGGACGATTTTGAGAATCACTCGGTAGAGTTAAACTCCCGAAGGCCGCTCTCAGATGGAGGACACATTTCCCGTGGACGTCTAGCTTAAAGATATGGTTCCGGAGAGAGTCGCGTCTCATCGGCGAGCTCTACGGCGGCGGAGGCTGCGTCGAGGTTCGATCGCGGCTGACGGTCCGGGGGTGGCACATAACCTCACGAGTCCACGCTCGTCCCCTAGTTCCAGGACGCGCGCTTGTCGTCGCCCCCTTCGCGTCGTCCGCCGGGCACCGGAGCTCCGGTTTCCTAGGGCGAGAATTCTTACCTCAGCTCGTCGCAGCGCCCGCGCCTACTCCGTCGCTTCCTCATCGACATCCCCGAGGTTCACACTGCACTGCACCACACACGGCACACTGCACCCCGCGACTCGCTTCCACTAGGGTTGCGCGCTCGCCATTCACCGGCTCCACCCTCGCGCCGGGATCCCGGAAGCTGTCGTCGGTCTCTCTCCCACCCACGGCGCCCGCTCGATCTGTCTCGCTCTCTCCCTCTCTGTCCGTCTCTCTCTGACGCTCAGACCGCGCGTGCTCTCCAGCATCCAGCTACGCCCGAGACAGCGACCGGCCGACTACTGGCGGATCGCCGGACCACCGCCGCCCGCAGATTCCGATTTTGACCGCAGAGGCGCCACGAGACGCTACGGGATGCAGGGATGCGCAGAGCTGCGGGCGCGACGCGCCGGGGACTAGACCGGTGCCCGGACTTAACCTCCCTACGAGAGCCCAAGGTGCGCCTCGTGCGTAAGCAGTGGATAATTTTTTAATGCAACTTTTTAAAATACATAAACATGTTTTGAAAAATCTCTTGCATATATTATACAAAATATATAATAGCTCTAGTAGACATCTACCAAAGGTTAATCAACGTCGTTGAAAGTACGTTTAGATAAATAAAAAGACACCTCATGTATCCTAACATTATTCATACATACTTAATGTTTATATAAAAATTCTAACATGATAAAACTGTTAATTTCGCCCATACTCTGAGTTTTTACTTCCTCTTTGGCTGATGACCATGCATTATGATTTTTTACCACTGTGTATATTATCATATATTACCAGGCATTGTATGATGTTTAATATACTTGTAGTGGACGTACAAATTAGGACATAAATTTAGAAAACTTATATTATCTATGGTATGCGTAATAAAAATATCCCGTGAATATATGTGTAAATCTTTTGGGCTGACGCCCAACGAATGTATTAGCGATGGTATGATTGTTTCGTTGAGAAAAATGATAGTAAGCGACTTAGATTGTGACGAAAACCACATCGCAACATAGAGGTGTTTTAGTTGATTCACTATCTCCCAACCGAGTAGACCGCTCGATAAACCGTTTGCGAGCTTGTTCCACCCGGCTGCGTGTCAAAAGTATTCATAATTATCGAGTTGGCGCAATTTAAACAATGCAGTGCGCGCGACGCGGAACCCCACGGGCGTAGAGTTGCAAATATTTGAATTGTTGAGCTCCTAGGAAACAATTTACCCTGTGACGAAATACTAAAATGTAGGATCAATAAAAATGGAATGTTGTACATTAGTTCCTCTTTATCAAGAATAAAATGTTGCATGGAACTTACATACTGGGTAGGCAGCCGAAAATTGAAATGTAATTAACATGTAATGCGCCTACCACCGGAATTCAAAGTTTTGCCCTTAGGAAACTGTATTCGGATAATACCCAGCTGCTCACTCGCTATAAACATATAATGAACTAGAAGAATCACCTGGATTAGAGATATCCCCGGTGATTTGATGGGGGATTCCGACGGATCCAAGGTGGAGTGCATGTCCAAGCTATGTTTCTGGACATAGTGCAGACCCGCGCCCGAGATGTCGCCTCAAGCGTTTGCTTTATTTGCGCGTTTAGCCATATACGTGTTAGTAATCTTTTATCTGACTCGGTCGCCAATTATCTATTTTTAATTGGTGATAATTGAAACACTGTTTTGATATAAATACGATACCTATTATTATTAAGCCTATTTGGCATACGAGAACTTTATTACAAACTTAATAGACCGCGCTTTTTGGTACGTTCTTCTTATTCTTAGTTCTATCTTGTCCTGTATATTGAACTACACGGAGAATCGACATGTAATCCCGCGATGCCCTATCGGAGCGTCGCTTGCGGCGTTTGCTTGAACTATGTACATATGTCGGCAACGCGGGTACCGTTTACCTAACTGCCGACGCCACAGCTTTCTTTTTACACTTCTATAAAAATTGTCCGTGTGGTATTTGAAATCTGCAGAGACGTTTTTCTTTACCGATAGAGAACGTTTCGCCCCTTTGAAAGCAGTTCCACGACGCTGGTGAGCCATCCCTTACTTTCGTACATTATCTCTGTTACGGAAGTAGGCCCTATTTTTTTTGAAATCTTATATATTTATAATATCAATTCGCTAACCTCAGACAGAGCTGTTGACTAGCTGCCTACACCCAATTCGGAAAATACTTTCACCAACGATTTCACTTCTCAGATATATATGTATCTCGCTCAAAAATGTATTTAGCTAGAAACTCCACCGAGTATCTCGATGTTAAGGCTGAATCAAGAGTTGTAGATATGTTGCACATTTCCACAAAATATTTCGCCGTATCTAGGGTAGCAACGGGTACTAGAGGAAAAAAGTGAACGACACAACTCTTCTCTCTGATAAATTACTGGTACATTTTTATTTCACATAATCGTAAAATGTACTGGCTATTTCATTATTAAGAGCTAAGATTGACGTATTTTTGCTCCGAGACGTTTTGACTAAGGGTAGGTATTACTATTTTTCACTTTATAGGATAACTGAAATTTAAAAGAAACTTATGAATTATTTTGTAAATTTGCGATCCTTTTGCTTTATTGATCTACTTACTGGTTTTGATTTAGAATAAGTTTAGGTCACCGTCCTTCACTTTAGCCAACAACTAAAGCATAAACGGGAAGAATGTTAATTATTTTGTAAATTCGCCGTCTGTTTGCTTTGTTAAACAACTCACCGGTTTTAGTGACTCGCAGAATGATTTGGCACGTATTATTGATCGAAATTTTTCATTATTGTTGAGACTGCCAGCTACGAGGTAGGCAGAAATAAGTAGAAGAACTACCATTGCGTAGAAATGGAATGCCTGAAACTTCATTTTGGATGAGACTTGTTGGCACTGATTATTCAAAATACCCGATGGCTCAATGTAAAATTTCTATTTAAAATCTTTAGACCTAGAAATCGCCTCGAGATCACGAAATTTCCACACGACTGTCAAATGGTCTAATGATAAAAATTGCACGAACTTTTGTACAGTTAAGAATAGCGATAATCACCACGTTGACTAGCACGAGAACAATTTAGGATTCACGAATTCTTTCTTGTTATGTAAGTTATTTCTACCCGCAAATTATAACTTCAACTTATATATCAATATTTTATTATATAGAGAAATAATAAACGTCATATTTCAGAATTCTTCACGCATGCTTATATGATCTCCTCAAAAGACACCTTAGGTGTAAAAATACATTCTTGTTTCTTTCTTGAATTGCAAAAATAATTCAAACCGTTTTTTTCTTTCTAATAACAAATGGAAATCAACTACTTTTGCCAAATATGTTAGTACCTTCATTTTATCAAATACTCAAATCAGATATTATTGCCAAACTATTGTACATTTTGTTCCACATAATACAAGTACATCTATTGTAAAAATGATATTATCAATTAAAATCATGTGTCTATGAAAACCTACAGTTTTCTATTTTCATATAATCTAATAAAACTTAAAACTTAAAATTTTGCAAAGCTATTATATTCTTGATACCGTTACCTCTATTGTAATTATAATTGAAGGGATTAGTGTACGAAGTACAAATAGACTTAGAACAATTTTTGATAATCAACCTCGTGTTTTCTTTATTAATAAAATACAAGTAAAATTAATCGAACATTGGTGTCATCGGGTTTAGTGAATCAAACATTATTTTGATAAGTATTTTCTAAATATTAAGAGTATGTTTCTTAAAATTGTCTCCATGAAACACTAAATCTAAAATTGATTGATGACGCCAGATCAGGTTTTGCGAATATCCTTCATTTACCGTACTTGGACCTGCAACATAAATAAATTAAGTTAAGTTCAGTAACAATGGGGAGTCATTTTACAAACTTTTCTTACCGATTCTAAATACTGGCACATTCTTTTTATATTTGGCAACACTATTTCGACTCTATCGGAGAAGGTGTTTATCGCTTTGAGCAAACGCTGGGGATTCACATCCCTGTGCACCTTACTCTGTACCGCGTTTACTTCCATGAATGTTAGACCAACAATGACTAGAATCAGTGTAAAGATTAAAGAAAATCTCATGTTCGCTTCGTCGATGTCAAGGATATTTAACAAAAGCTATAAATTGAAAACAATTCTCCGTATTTAAAACTCCTTATGTCCGGCTTGCCGGCTACATTGAGGAGCGTAAAATACACTTGATAAGACAATCACGAAATTTACTGACGTATTTTTTTATTACATGAAAAATGACTGTGGGAGCTCCAAACGAACCAAGTCAATAGCTTTGAAAAGACTATTTTTTGTTATAGGGTAAGCTTACTGACATTTTAATTTCTCAGTATTCTTCAATATCGATGACGGATTTATCTGAGATATTGACACATATCTTTGGTCCAATGAAATTAAAAAACGCATTCAAATGATCGACATTTAGTAAAATAATTTATGCGCATATTCCTACTTATTGTTTCTATATAATCGGATGTTTTCATTTCTGTTCATGTCGCATCAGAAATTATGCATAGTTAAAAAACTATCCCTGTGATCTACATATGCAAGGATCGAAATTTTATAAAGTTTCTTGTATTAACGACCGTCATTATTCCAAATGTGCATATGTAGCATATAGCATTTAACTTTGACTTTTAATAAGAAAGTGGATAAATAAACCCGTCATTACAGATTTCTTAAACTAGATTGCCAAAGTTTAGACATATTTACGCAGAAATTATTCTACCATTACATTTTAGGTAATGGACGCAATGGTATCGATACTTCCGAAAAATTTCTTTTAATAGGATAGATGATTTATTAAAAAAATCAAGAGGTATTAAATCGTAAACTATGGATTAATACTCTTTATTTAATTAAAAGTTTAATCAAATAAATACATTTTCCTCCTTTTCAGTACTGATCTATAAACCTTTGTTATCATTTATCATTGGTACCTTCGACTCTTATTTTATTTAGGGAGTATCAGATTTAAGGGACCATCATCGACTTTATTGTACACCTGTAAAAGAAAAGGAAATGCATTAATTTTTCATGGATTTGTAAGGCCGAATGACTATTTTTTGCGAAATGGAATATTTTTAACGTCTTTTTGCCGTAAATATTCCTACTTTTCTAAGAGGTAAATAGGTAAATTTGTTGCATTTTTAATAACTTACATCTCTGAGTGATTGGCATAACGACTTAGTGCGCAACATAATGGACAGAAAATCATCATTGTCTATTTCATGATGGCCTTTGCCTGCTGAATTGACACAGGAAATGAAAAGAACTATCATCGCACATGAAAGAAACACATAAAAATTCATTGTCGATGTTGCTTGTTCGGGTAGATTGTACGAAATGCCTTTAGTCCTGATATGGAATCTCGGTTTAAAAGTTCGACTCCCGGAAGTCACTTAGTAATCACGAGATAAAGTCATGAACATTGAATTTTCGAGTGATAAAAGGTGCACGAGTTTTATTATAATTCAACAAATTATACCCGAGTCGATGTTCGCTTTAAGATTACTTTTCTAGTCACGAACTGTTCTTATTGTCACATAGAATTTTTCATAAAAAAAAAAATGAGCGATACAGGACGAAGATTACTATTATAGTTTTAAGATTAATTACTAATATTAATGTTTTTCAGTGGTTTTCATTTAGGAAATAGAATAAAATGATTGAGGTGGATATAAAAAGCAGTGCAAAGTTAGATTCGCTATTCATTCATTAGTCAACGGCTATAAATTGCATATGGAATAACAAAATTACATATCGTGTACATATCTATTATATACATTAAATACATAATTTTCGAGAATAGATTGATGCTATTTCCGCAGACAAAATGTTGAAAGATACCAGGTCAATCCCTATTTCGCAGATGTTCTTCATCTATGGGAAGAAAGGATGTAACTACAACATAAACAAATATATTTATGTCAAAATAAAAACCATGATCCGCCATTTCCTTTGACAGTAAAATTCATCCGTTTCTTACCGGTTCCACAAATTTGCAAATTCTTTTAATAATTTGGAGGGATACGTCGACTTTGTCTCCGAATGATTTCTGATTCTGAACCTTCGTAATAAAGTCGTCTTTTAAATCCTGGCTGCTCATCCTAGCATTTACCACCATAAACAATGGTCCAACAATAACGAGGGCTACTGTAAAAATGAGATAAAACTTCATCCTGGCTTTTTTACTACCAGTGATTTAAAGAGAAGCTCCATTTTCAACATCTACGACCGAATATATAAAACTCATCATTTCCGGCTTGCCATATTCCTTCTAAGTCGTAAACTAGACTTGATAATGCATCAGGAAAATCATGTGTACTTTTTATGATATGGCAAATTCTATTCTCTTTCTATCCGAAATGTTCGGTAATTCCAGTTGGACATAAATGACGGATTAAGTATCTTATCAGGGTTTTGTACCGATAGTACTAACGGAACTAAAGACGAGTGCATAAAACTCGTGGTGCCCGACACTTTTTGTAGAAAATAAGAAAAAGTCAGAGTAACTTTCTGATCGCTTCGGCTTTTCCGAACCAAAAGTCAGAGTCATTTTCTGGTCGCTTTGATTTTCTTCCACGTATCTCATCGGATTTCGGACACGTTTTGGAAATAAGAACAACTTTACCATGAAGGCGCAATTGATTATCGTTGCGACGTTGTTAATGCTTTCGAGCATTGTTTCGGCGAATCGTGAATTAAAAAAGCTCGTTTTCGACGGCTTCGTCGTTGAAGTAGCCAAGCGCTTGTACCAAATACTAACTGAAGGTATAAGTAAATCAAACCAACAAATACCGACAGCAAGTCCACTTGGAATATAATTTTTTGGAGTATTGACACCCCAAACAAATTGTTCATCAGCACGTTACGTCGGAATGACATTTTTAACAGTGCACTTTAATGAAACTGTAGTCTAAACTGTGAAACGTGCTAATAAAATTTACACAATCTCTACTGGTCATAGTTTTTTCAATCCCCATCTCTGTTTAAACTGTATTGCAAACAACTATTTAAATAAGAGTTCCGGTGTCGTTAGTGACTTAACATTTTTCTGTGTACTATTCTATGTATACTATTTTCGTATAGTATTTCTTCCTACACGGTGCGCGATTGATTGGCTATGCTGCAATTAATTATTACAGGAAATTTATGCACTGTAGGGAGAAATAGTACAGGACTTTTCGACTCCTTTTTCAACAAGTATAGTGCTGTATAAACCGTGCCTACCATTTACATCCAGTATACAGTAAGGATCAAGAATACAGGAATGGGGGAAATAGAAATATAATTCCTTCGTTACTATAGGAAAAGACATAATCTTTCGACCGAGTCAAAACTCAAGGAAAAAATCGGGAACTTTTTAATATTTATTTACAGACCCTGAGTTGTGTTTTAACGAATCACATATTGTTAAGACGTTACAACGCATTTGAAAGATTAAAAAGTACAAAAGATGCATGGTTTAAATTAGAGAGTTTAAAAGAAAACAGAATAAAATTAACATGTTTATTTGTTTATTGCCTCCCTTCTTAGACATGTAAGTGCACTAATGTTCGAGTCCATTAGAGGTCCTGCGATTCAAGCATCGCTTCGCGCATCAATAGCGCGGGAGGTTTAAATTCCCTTGGTGGTAGAGTCGGTGCAGGTTGGGTAAGGTGATCATGGATTTCTTCAATAACATATTTGGCCAATTCTATGACTCCGGCAGCAATCAATGCTTCAAATATGGGATTTGCTCTGGTCACGGCCGAGAGCATCAATAATGCCCCTACAAAAATCACTTGGAGCTTCATGGATGCAACTTGTTTTTCAACGCTCGGTCAATTCTCACTGTAGTTGATTCTGTACAAACTATTCCCTTCTTCGTACCTTTTATT